GTGTTGTTCAGCATGGGGGTGAGTAGAAAATGAAGGCTAATCATGTTTTGGGTGTACTATTCCTTTAAGTTGCAAAATGTTTAATGCTTCCTACTTTTCAGTGTTAATAACTGGATCCATCATTTGCACTTCCCAGAATGGCAGTAAAATTATTATTTTTACATACAGCTAACAAGGACCAAACTTCGTAACAGCAGACTTTGATACTTAGACCTCTAATTATTCAAATTCACAAAGATTTTTAATTTCTTATTGATCAAACCAAGATCTAAGTTCATATAAAAATATAAATATGTTTTTTTCAGGTAGTTTTTTAAAGTAGAGGATGAATGTCACTGCAGTAATTTCTCAGATCTGACAAAAGACCCCAGAACAATGTTTATTTCACAACCACGTCTAATGTAGGTCAATTCCCAGCCTCCTCTGATTGTCTGTGACACAAAACAAACAAGCAGTGTCTGAATAAAGTTAACAGGAGCCAGAAAATGCTTATTTATGGTGTCTCAGAATGATCACAATTCACCTGCTCTGTTCCTGTTCAAGAGGTTTTATTCTTTACAAAGGAATGATTTTAAAACGTTTTCCGTTACTTACTGGGTATAGATCGTTTGCTTATCTTCATGTCTCCTAAAAACATAAAAAGGAAAAAAAAGTCAGCATAGATTACATCTGTAGACTCTGCAGTGAAATAAAAGAAATAAGCAGCTGTCTGCATGTTTATAACAAATTGTTTGCTTTGCACCGGTTGTTTTACAGGATGATATTGATCATGTTTCCCTTGAAAACAACTGCAGGGCTTTGGCCTGCTCTGAGAGGGAAACATGAGGCAAGCTAGACCTGTGGACACAAAGGCTCCCATCTACAGGGAGTTCGCTTCAAGGCACAGCAGGTTCTGGAGCATTATAAGGGAACCAGACATCGTTCACCTCCAATTCAGTTTTCTTCTTCTTTGGGTTTCTGTCCTGAACTTTTGAAACTCTTTTTTTGCGTGTGTGTGTGTGTGTGCGTCTGTGTGTGTGTGGATTTATTGTGGGTGACCAAACCTTTGTATGAAGCTTGGGAGTTAAGTTACAAAACTGGCTCTCAGTGAGTTTAATTGTTATAGAAAAGCCTGTTTTTGTTTTGTTTTTTTTTATATATATATAATGCAGAAGATAAATACTTATTTATTTATATGTACATTGAGGTGAATAATTTTATTTATTTATTTTTTCCTTTTAATGGTTCACCAATTTCCCCTCGCTCCTGTATACCTGATAACAGAATACTTCAGACTCCAGGCTCGGTTCTGATTTCTGGTTTTGCTGTGCCAATCCCTGATATCTCATAGTCACCGCCTGGTCACCCCTTTAACAAGGTTCTGCTTCATTTATGTCTTAAAATGACTTATAACCATATTTACCTTTAAGATTTGCCAAGAGAAAGTTTTAAACATTAGTTACTGCACAAATAATTTAAGACATGTGCAGTTTAATCTGGCATAGAGATGAACAGCAGCTGAGCAAGTCCTGTAATTTTCTATCTAAAAATCATAATTCCTTTGTAAGTATTATTTTTACAGTCATTGATTTATTTATTTAGCTTTGTGCCTTGACAAGTGTAACCTAAAAAATGTTTTTATTTACACTAGTATAGAATATAAGTGGATAAAGATGGATTTAAGAGATGACGGATGGAAACGAGCTGTAAACTTCTGCCTCCATAAGAGGTTAAACGTTCTGCCCATGCGAAAGGGGTTTGTTTATACCTCTTACATTCTTACAAATGCTTCAAAAGGTAAACATTATTCACTTTTTCCATCCAGAGATCCAGGACTCTTCCAAGAAAAGAGGGTCAGTTGGAGTCTAAACCACTGATTTTTAATCACTGTAATCAAGCTTGATGTTACTTGAGACTTTTTTTTAAATAGCAGCTTCGATTCAACAAGAAAATAACATAGGGATGTAATAATAATAATTCTGTCTCTTGCTCATAGAGATTGGACAACAACAATGGTTGTTTTTTTTACTATGGAGCCAATTGTTGTTAAAAGATACCAGCTTGGCTCTGAAAGCAGATCATTATCACAATGAATGTGGTTAAACATAGAAACATTTACACAGAGTTTTTGAGAAACATTAAAGTTTGCTTTTTTCTTTAAATCACATTAATGAGAACCTTAAATTTTAAAATCCATTTTGATGACATGTAGATTTAAAAAAGCAGTTTAACAAGGATGATATCTTGTCTTTAGCCAAAATAAAGCTATCCAAACTGTTTTTTTTTTTGTTTTTTGTTACAACGTAACCAGCTCTTAACCATCATACTTATCTGTGCCACTTTTGGATGAATAAATCGTTTATTTATTGCTTTTTTTGTTTTCTTTATTTCAAAGTCAACTAATAAGAGTGGATCCGATTTTTGCAGTCTTTTTCTTATCAATGAAAACTGACTAAAACTAAATGTTGTTTTTGTTTGATTGGCCTCCTGACTGAGTCCTGGATGCACTCCTGGAGTAACTTTGGTTGTTTAAATACTAATAATGTTGGCATCCTGGAGTGTGGTTCCCTCTTGTGGCCACTTTTCTTCATTGTTCTCTATGGGTGACTTCTGGGAGCAGGTTAGTGGAGGAGCATAGGTGTTTTCCATTTACGTTCAATAAAGGAGAGGCTTACAAAGAAGTCACTGCCAGAGTGTTAACCCATGTGATAATACTCTAACCGGCCCCTAGTCTTTTGTGTTTCACTCTAAGACGATTTCTCTGTCCTGGTTTGTTCCAAGTTGCTTCTTTTCTGAGCTGTTCCAATGGTTTACTCCTTTGTACCAAGCTTCTAGAACCATTGTCTTCACCTGAGGCTCCTTGCTGGTAGTTTGCTGGAAGGTTGCTACTTGAAGCACCTTGCTCAGACCCTGCTCACCCTCCAACAGTGATGACCCCTCCTCCGTCTTCATCATAAGTTCCAAGTTGCTTCAGAAACCTGGAGCCACTAAACATCCCCTGGAGAAGAACCTCCAGTGGCATGCATTCTGGTATCCACTAACCATCATCTCCGCTTCTCCTCCAAGGATCCCTCATGACAACAATTCTTCCTCAAACCCAGTAAACAAGATTATTATTATTAATCTTTTCCTTTTCCATTTTCATAAAATAACCCCAGCTGTGTTTCCCTGGAAAGTTGACATCTCCCAGTCTCCTCAGCATCCCGTTCCAGATCAATGTCTCCAGATCTAATGACTACTTCTAAATTAACCTTTTTAAAACTGTTCAGCCTATTAAATGTGTTCTGCATGTGGGCCAAATCTCTGCCTAAAATCATGAGTTTCTGTGTAAAAGCAGGAGGTCATGGTTTGCACAGAGCAGAGCACCACCAGATTTTCCAGTGTTCATCTATCTTAGATAAAAGGCGTCTTTTTATTTTATTTCTTTTTAATCAGAAACCTGATATATTTTTTGACATTGATCCTCAACATGCTCAGTTGGACCCTCCTCTTCATCAGCAGGACAGAAGACAAATCAAAGAACATATTTAAAATTCATTGCGAACTAAAAACGTTTTGGGGTGTGGAAGTAAATTTTTTATATCATGTATTTTTATCTAACTGTCCTGAACATTTCTATAAATAAATTACAATTTATTTTGATTAAATCTTTGAATAATTTACTTGATGATTATCTTGTGCTCAAATATGTGTTTATTTAGCACATTGTATTCTGGCTGATGAAGAGGGAGGGATGTTATTCAATTACTGTAATTTAAAGGTCAAGAAAATCATTGCTGTTTTTTATTAAACATATTTAAGATATCTGTGCTTTTAAAAATTAGCTTTTATTTTTTTCATTTCAAAATCATATTATGGGATATCATTAATATATGAAGTTGTTTTTACTGTGTTAGTTTGAGTTGATTCATAAAAATAGTGTTTGAAAAAAGTTTCATTTTGGGGTGTCTGTGTATGTTCCGTTTTCAGAGAGTCCAAAGTAGAAGTTTAATTGTTTATTAAATTGTTTATTCTCAGAAAATTATTCTTAATAACACAAAAAAAAGCCCTCACATCTTAGCATTCCTCAGTCCTATATACTAAGTTGTAAGCTGTTTGGTTCTGTAAATTAAACTCACCAGTGATTATTGGTTAATTTGGTTCAGATAGGTTTGATATTTTAATTGATAAACAAACAATTTCTATCTTTATTCTAGATGCCTTTTTCTGATGATCTAAAACATTAAAGTTTGATTTTAAAAAGGGATAGAAGAGATCTGTAATGAGGGATGACTACCTTAATTTCCCACTTGCTGAATGATAAGATTTTCTTTTTTTCATTTTAAAGGGGAAAAAAATTATTTAAAAAAATGTAAATGTGATACAAATATTCAAATGCATTGTACTTTAGCTTCAGCTCCATCAGTTGTGCTCTTTAGATAAAGCCAGAACCCCCCAAACCCCCATCACACCTACCTAGTCGCATCAGTACGCTGAGGGCCACCAACATGAGGGACCCCAGCAGGGACAGCAGGAGCCAAACGGCCGGATTCCAGCACCTGCACTCGCTCTCCACCACACGCTGGCTCCTCATGGCTGTCTGACTGACCATCTGCCTGCAGCACACAGAAACACAGTCTCAGTCAATCTCACTGTTGTATCCAAAGTCCAAAGCTGCATGTGTCACAAACTTCCACATCCTACTGCAGATGCAAATGAAAAACAATCAGTATTTGCTGTCCTGGTTTGGAGTAGCCTGATTATAGTATTGGATTGTTTTATCTGATACGCCCTCCAGCTGTTGCTGCTCTGCTGTAGTTGGGTATTGATGGTAGCCTCAGTCAGCTCAAAGGGAAATAACATTACAAACTTCCCTCTCGGTGAACATGAAAAGAGCTTTGACGGGAAAAATCCCAGCAGGTGAGCAACAGCCACCAGTTACTGATATTATCGGGGACCATAGGGTGCTGCTGCTGCGGGCACAAAATGGCCACCCTTCACAAACTGGTAGGGGGAAGAGGTTCAGGTTTTGAACAACGGCAGCAGCTGGAGGAGTCTTGTGTTACAAGCGGAGGCCGATATCTTTGTCACTGTTTTTCCAGGGGATTTTCCTCTGGAAAGGGAATGTCAGGATTCACAGGGATCACTCATTAATCAGCCTGATAAAAAATTCCTCAGAGCTTCTAGGATGCTCTAACCGCAGAGGGAAAAAACATATTTTGCATGCAGTATTAATGGAAATACAAGTTATTATCAGAGGCAGGCAGTAACTAGTTACATTTACCTGAGTAACTTCTTTTAAAAAATACTTTTAAGAACAGTTTTACTGCATTCTACTTTTTATTTTAGTAAAAACTAAGTTGAAGTAGCATTTTTTTTGCCTACTCTACCCAACATAAATATCTATAATCCAGAGCAAATAAGTAAAAAAAAAATAATGCATCCAAAAACACAAAGACAATATTTTGTTAAAATGAGATTTCTTTTTTTAGATTAATTTAATTTTTTACCTGCTGATTCTTTTGTGTGGTTTGGATGTCAAGAGATAAAAACAGTTTACTGCTTCTGGTTATTGGAAGTAACAAGATCTAACCTGCATCCATAACAAACAGTACGTCTCAATTTCATGTGTTTTATAAAAGAAAAAATATACACTTTAAAGATTCAAGCACCTAAAATCACTAAGTATTGTATCTTATATTTAATTTTTTTCATCAAATTCTTTGCAACACCAGGATTTACATATAAATATATATGTTGTACAACCTTACCTTAAAAAACACTAAATCAAATATTTTGATCATCAGTAGATCAGTAACTGACTACATGAGTTTCCCTTTTTTATCAAATACTTTTATGCTCTTATTTGAGTAATTGCTTGGATAGCAACTTTTTAATGTGTAAAAATATGATAAAGTATTGCTTAAGTAGAATTTTTGGGTCCTCCATCCACCTCAGATCATTATGCAGTGCTGTACTTTTCAACTTGTTTTAAAGTTAAAATAAAAATTATGTTACTAGCAGCAACTATGACATGTTAAAACTTCCTTATTCTAAAGCGGCATCTCAATGCGGGTATTGCTGCACGATGTGCCTGACCTGTTTATGCCAAACTTAATAGTCGCTGAGTTTTTACTCAGACTTTTAACACGCAAACCTCCAACCAAGTTTCTAAGATGGTTGTTAAAGACGGGAGCTTTAGTTGTGCAGCTCTACCTGCAGCTTCTTTCTCCGCTCATGCCGAATTCCCCCTGACCTTACACAGGAATGTGTATTAGGGGATGATGAGGGGAAAATTTGATATTGGCCCCTTGAGATAGTGGACATTCCGGGCCTCGGTAGCACACAAAGACATTTCTGCTTTCTGTGGTCCCCCTTCGTCAGGCATAAACGCTGCTTCCTGCAATCTGTCACTAGAACCCTCCGAAACGCTTAGGCCCCTGATGACACTGCAGGGGCGCCTCTCATCTCCTCAGAGGGCAGGAGGCGAATTAAGAAGCAAGGAAAATGTTTTTTTTTATTTAAACCCACTATCAACCTATGGATGCAGCTTATATAGTGAGGATCCAATGCACAGGCCTCTGCTCTGCTTCCATCCAGGTTAGGCCCCAGTCCCAGAACATGAGGTGCACAGTTAAGACACAGTGCACCCAGTCAGGAGGTGGGGATTTTAACACCACCAGGGTGCTTGAGAACCGAGGCTACCTCCTTTGGAAACTGTACGAGCACACCACTCAAAACTCTGGGACAAATGGTTCAGTTATGAGGGATGAAAAACAATCTTGTCCCCAATGTTATGTTTTTCAATACTCCATTCATAGTAGGATGTAGCGCAGATCCGCTGGGGAATAATGTTGCCTTTTGTGTCGGCCCTGCTTCCCCTCCCTTCTCACTTCCCTGTGCTGAGAAATAGCTGAAAGATTTCAGCCCCACAAAAATACCCCCTAATGTCTGAGATAGACCACAGAATAACGCCGTCAGCCCATTTTGATGGGAAGAACCTGCTGTCATTTAAGCAGAAAATCAGCCTGTCATGGACTGGAGTTCTGACTTCCTTCATAATCCTTGCAACAAAAAGTAAAAAAAATAATAATAATCCTAAAGGAGAAAATTTAAGTTACTTAAAGTTTAATCATTTTCACAACCATGTTTATTAAAAAACATCTTAAACCAGCTCAGTTAGGAACAACTTTTTCACTTTATGACAAATAATCCAGTTCTGGAAAAAAGACAAAAGATCATTCAAAATAAGTAAAATGTCTTCATATCATATGATAGTTACAGAAAAAAACTTTACATACCTGTTGCAAAAGAATTAATCTTGACCCACAATAATAAATATAAAAAAGAAATTAAATAGGTTTCCTTTCCCCAAAATGAAAGAGAAAAAGAGTTGAGCCAGCAGGTGGTTTAGTTCCACAAATAAAGAAAATTCTTTTTTAAAAACTACACACAGAAAAGAAGTCAGAAAACTCCAGAATCCACCGCTACGTTTGTTTTAGGTCTTTCATCTCCTTAAACCTGCCTGCCTATAAGTACCTGGCCTCAGTGACAGGGATTACGTAAAACAATAAATACCACAGCATTGTATGATAATATTCTAACGCCCTGTACCTGTCTAAGCTTAAAAGAAGCAGGAGGGGCGTGAAAGACACAAAGACAATATGAGCTAACCCTTTACTGGTGTCCCAGCATCTCCAGTTTCAGGAGGAGCTCTCAGAAGGTGCGGTCCTGCTCATCCCTGCACACAGTCAGTGGCAGAGGGAGGCGAGGCTGTGGCTTCGCTTCTCTGTCTGTCCACGTTTGTGCATTGGACGCTCCCACAGAGAGCTGCTCCAAACGAGAAGACTCTGAGGCAATGAGTCAGAAATCCACCCGATCACTGGCATGTAGAGATATTAGTTTATTTGGCAGAAGGAAAGTGCCATGTAAAGTTTTTCAAGCTCCTTTTTTTTGGGGGGGAAGCTGCAAAAATCATTGTGTTCAATTCAGATTTTATGAAAAAAATCAGCTCAAATGAACAATGACTTTATTTTTACAATAAAAAAAATGCAAAGCATGATATGCATCTTATTACTTTGTAAAATCACCTTTCCTGGAATAACAGTGGCAAGTGTTTGGAGGTTTGCACCTGATGTTGTACATGTAGGGCATGGAAATGTTAACTTCAGCAGCTGTACTACATGCATCTTCCCATCAACTCTGACTTTAAAAACTCTGTGTTTTAAACAAGCCTTTTGCTGTATGTTTATGTTTTTTTGTGAATGTATTTTCATTTTATCCTACTTTTTATCTTTAATTGCTGTTTTATTGGTCTTCTGTGCAGAGCTTCTTGATTGCTTTATCTTTAAAAGGTGTTAAATAAAAAAACTTTGCTCACTTAGTTACCTACTTAATGTGCTTGGTTGCGTTTGCTGAAGAAAGACCCACCATTATTTTATTTTATTTTCCTGTTGTTTTTTGTCTTTTGGTGGGGTACGGTGTGTTCATGGTTCTAGGAAGTGTTAAATGGATTTTGGATATAAGCCAAACGGTTTAGGTCTGGTTTCATTTAACCAGAGGCTTTCAAAATAGTTATTGTGTTCCCTACATAGCTTTTGAAAACTTTATATAGGACTTTTTATAGCTTTTATTCAATATTGATTTTCTTTTTTGCTCCTCTTCCATAAATGCTGGATTTGCACAGCGGATTATCTCTAACTTTGATGCCAAGTGAGCTGCAGATCTCTACCAATCTGTTTCCTGATCTTAATAAATCTCAATAAACTTCTCCACAACCTTAACCTTTACTTTCCTGCAGCCTTCTTTGGTTTTATGATGCAATATTTCACCAGTGTCGTCCTAATGAACCCTTAAGGCCTCAGAACAAATGGATTTATACTAAATAGATATTAAACATATAGACTTTCCTATCTAGCTGACTTGTGAACAACCCTGTTTGTATTTTATGCATAAGCAAAAAACTTGCTTATTTCCACTTTGTATTGATTGATCATGTCTCAAATTAAAGAGATGAAGCCCTCTAGTTGTAATCTGACCAAATGTGGACAAGGTAAATAAAAAATAGATCAAAACTCAACATAGAGATCTGCTATAATGTTAGCTGATTTTAAAATTTACATTCAGATTAAACGAGAAACGAATTTCCTAACATGGCAAACCATTAAAAAGCTAAATAAATGCTTAAAAACAATAAAAGACTTTAAAAAATAAAGATACTTTCTATAAACCATCCAAACACCCACTGCTTAGCACTTTACTTTAAAACATGGGATTCCTGTAAAGGAAAATATGCAGCACCCTCTCTGACTCATGCAGTAAACTCTTAACTTGATGCGAACAGATAATTCTTCCTGGAGAAAATGTGCTGCCTGTCTGCAGACTTTGTCGGGGTTTTAGTGGAGTGGGGCATAGTGGTTAGGGTATTTCACTTGGAATCCAGAGGTTCTGAGTTCAAGCCCCACTCCCACGGACTCACACTCTGGTCCTGAGCACATTTGGCCCTGAGCAAGACCCTTTACCCCCACTCTTCTCCCTGAGTGCTGCACAATAGCAGCCCGCTGCTCCCCAAGAGGATGGGTTAAAAGCAGGGAGTTCATTTCATTCCTCAGTACTTGTGACAGCGGAATGACATAAAAATGCTGAGCTGAAAAAGTTTCAGGACTCCTGTTTGTTTTTTTCCCCTGAATCGGTTACAGAGTCACAATATAGATATCTTGTTGCTCTAACTTCCTTCACTAAACATGGAGATCAGGTTCGCCAAAGAGGCAGAGCTGCACGCACATTACTGCAGTTGCCTTACTTTTAGCTAGCTTTACTGTGTATTTGCATTATCTGCAATGTGTTACCTGTAGTTATTATCTGCTTTCTGAAATCCGTGTGGTAAATAAATACACAATGCTCATCTAAACCTGCCCTATGCATGTATCTCACCAGAAGGCAAATATCAGGTCTATTAGCAATAATTATTCCTAGTTTAATGCATTAGCAGTAGCATTGTGGGACTGTGCTGCTCGTCCCATTTACAATTTTGACAAAATTGGAGGATTGCCCTTTCTTGGTAAATGCAATTATAGAATACCCAAAATACCCTTAAAATGATCTATGTTTCATTAACAGATGCTGTTAAGCTGGTCATTTTTATACAAACAAATTTTCTACTCATAAATATTATATCTGGAATAATGAAGACATTAAATACAAAAATAAAACAAATCTTTTACAGTAAATGGTTTTATAGTGGAATATCACTTTTAAGCCAATTACTAAATCCAAACAGTAATTTATTGTCTTATTCTGACTGTATTTTACTTTTCCAATTTCTTGTTACCCCTAAAGAATATGCTGTAGTGTTTGACGAAATCCCCAGTGGATCATTAAAGCTTTTGTTAGCTTTACCTACATGTCAAATTGACTCAATGCCAAATTTTCATCCAAACTCCATTCATATTGATTTTGATATTTATAAGTAAGAAAACAACCAACAAAATGTTAAGAAATATTCTATTATTAGATGTTTATTCACCAGCTTGTATATTTTTATTGGTAATAGAGTAAGAGAAATTTCTTATGTAATTATTCATAATGTTCGACCTGTTATAGCAGTAATGATAAAAAAAAAAAAAAAAAAAAAAAAAAAAGATATAAATGGGATTTGGAACCAATGTGTACTTTTTGTAAAAATAAGGAAGAAAAGATTATTAATGTTTTTTGGGATTGTAATTATACCAAATATTCTGGAGAGATATGTCCATTTTTTCATCAAAGAAATCTCAATATTACTTTAATAGATAAGGATGTTTTGTTTGGGATGGAGAAATGTGAACTTGACAAAACAGAATTTTTATACAGTATGCTGTTAATGTTTTTTTATTATTATTATTTATGGTATATATAATATTCCCACCTCCAAATATATATAAAAAAACTACTTTCCAGATTTTATTATCTTCTATTAATATATCTATAGAATCCTTAAAATTCAGCTCAAATACTAAAGCCATTCAGATCATAACTGCCCTTAAAGAATTGTAACCCTTAAGCACAGATTTGATTTTGACAGTGTAAAATACTTGCTCTATGTTCTGTAAAGCCCTTTTTTTTGTTGTATTTGTTTGTAATTAATAATGTCACTTGAGCTTATTCGGCAGGCAAAAAAATCTGAGAAAAAACTGTTTATTACCTTCAGGTTGTCGATGAATGTAACAATCAACAAGAAGGAACAAAGAGGAGGCCGATGGCTTTTATTTCAACCACATTTAAAATTATTAAGGTGTTGAGTTGATGATTAATAATGTTAGAAAAAACAAAATTTCAGCAATGTGGGCCAAAATCCATGGATTTATATAAACTAAAAAACATCCCTCTTCCATCTTGAAACAAATTATATGCATCCACCCATGAACTGAAGTGATTGTAGGAGGTTCCTAATGTGTCTAAATTCCTTAGCTATGTCCAGTGTTATGCTGCCATCGGCTTAGGCTGCCGGAGGACAAATGTACCACTTAACATTCAGCTTGATTATATTTTGTATTTCTATTTTCCTTCTATTTTCTGCAGTATTTATTAGTTAAACCCCTAACTTTATACACTCTCGGCTTTTTCTTGTCATAGGAGCTTCATCTGGTCTGTTCCTGTTTGGATGTGACACCATTTTGAAAAGAAATATCAGCTGTGCTGCTGCCATCAACACATTTGGTTATAGATTATGGTACTGGGCCTGTTTTTCAGAGTTTAGTCCTGCTTCTCTCCTCAATTTAGCATTGGACTTTGGTTTTCTGTATGTGCTCACTTTCTTTCTTTTAGTCATAAAAACTGGCTCAGAGCTTTTCTGCTTAACTGCTTCTTTCCCAGCCAGAGCCACCTGTTAAGCAATTTCAATGTGACCTTTCTAATATAGAAAGTGATCAGTGCTTCTACGTTCCTTTCTGTATTTCTGTTATTTTCCCCTAGAATCCCCAGTCGGCCTCGGCAGAATGCAGCTCACACTAAATTAGATTTGACAAAATGCAAGCGAATATCTACTGTAGCCACATGCTGATGCAGGAGGAGCAAAACCTGCAATGTCAATGACTGGATGCAATAAGTTGGCTTAGGAAACATATTTTACCAAACAGCCTGCAGAATCGGATTTAATTGTCTCTGTTAAGGGCCTTGGGATGTGCTGTTATTTAGCTCAATATAAATACAGTAAACTAAATCATTCATTTCTTCAGGTAACACAGAGTACATGTCAGACTTAATAATACTACTTCAGCGATAGTTTCAAGGTGTTGCTTTATTGTATATCTCGTACCATGTCTTTCGGTTGTGCTGTTCTTTATATCTCGTTGCAGATGATGAAGCAGACTGAAACAGTTTTGTCATTGTCTCCTTTCTATCATCTTTTCTCTTTTTTTCTTCTTTCCTTTTTCTTCTTCTGTTTTTCTGCTCTATTTACATTGCAGTGTCCATATAAACTGTAAAACTCCCTGCATAATTATTATAAAGCAATTTATATGCATGAACATCCCAAGTATCCACTTGTAAAAGTAAAATCTGTTGGGCTCTTTTTGGCATCAAGACAATTATTCTTATTGCCACATTGCCAGACAGGACACTGTAAAAAAAAAAAACTAAATCAAATTG